GTCTGAACTGAGTTACTTCTGCACAGGGGGAAGAACTGTGTTCATTCTGTGTGCCATCCCCTTGTGGAAATCCGACCACATAGAAAGCTGCCCCCTTCAGACGGGCACTGATCATGTGTTGCCCAGGAGTAATGCAGAGAAGCACCAAGAGGGCCTGGTTAGGCACTGGACGGATGGCTCAACTGAATTTTCTGTTGTTTGACACTGAGAGAGAGAGAGAGAGAAGGAGAAGCTTCCAGAACCTAAATTTGCCTGACAACACATGTAAATTGGATAGCAATACACACAAATGCTCTCAAATTTTATAGTCAAGTTCATGCCAAATGATCACAGCCTTTCCATAATACAGGATTTTCCCCATAATGAGCTAGGGCAAGGCAGGAGAGAACACCTTGTAGCCAAGATAAGATTTGAACCAGGAACTTGTTGGGTCACAACTCGCTGCTATATCAGCTCTCAAAGTTAAAAAACTGGAAAGGGAAGGGAGAAATATCAGAAGGTAAACAAAACATGTCTGGGCCTTTCCCAAGCCCCAAGTGCATCAAACTAGTCTGCCATTTTAAAGTTATTCTTTGTTTCTTCCTTCCTCAGTTTGTTTTATTCTCTTTCATTCCTTCTTACTTAGCTTACTTGAAAATGCATCTTCTGAATGTGAATAAACACTGAATTCTGATCACACCTTGAAACAATATATACATTTTAATGATAGAAGGGTCTTACACTGAAGCTGTTTTTTTTTTTTTTCATTTTAGCTCTAAAAATACTAAAACACATTCATAGAATTTCCCACAAGTCAATTTACATTTTGAAAAGCATTCAGTTTCTAAATGGACCAAATACTTTCCACAGAAAGGCAACAGTGCTTAGTCCTCCTTCCAGACTAGCAGGAAAGTACACTGTGATGTTAAGTAGGTAAAAATATTCTTTGACTGGCAGTAGCACCTCAGCCATGCAGAACTCGTATACTTTTTTCAGATTTTTTAGTTTAATGAATCTTCAGGATTTCCTCTGAATAAACGTATTATATTTATCAGGGTAAAGACAGTTCAAATACAGGCATTGGCTTGGATCCACACCCTACTCTTGTGTGAATGGAACACACCTGTACTCACACTGGGGCCCAGAGAATGCTCTCACACTCTACTATCTGCAATCGCTTGTTGACCTTAACACGCCTACTCTACAAGATTAGAGGACCGGTCAGAGCAGCACAAGATACAACACAGGTTCTGCAGCTGAGAGGAGCAGAGACACATCCCACGTACAGTCACAGCTTCTCTCCTCATAACTGAGGGATCTTTTCATGCAATATCAGTGTCCAAAGCTTTTATAAGCACAAGACATGGACAAAATATGGACTGGTGATCTGGAAGATCTGGGTACTAGTCCCTACTAAGCCATGTCTTGTAAATATGAAGTACAATCCATATTGTACTTGCTAAGTTAGCAAAGCTCACTGGGTGACTTTGGGCCAGTCACAAACTCTCAGCCTAACCTACCACACAGGGGTCTTGTGTGGATAAAATGGTTCTATGTAAGTCACCTTCACAAGAAGGACAAATGTGAGATATAAATGTAATGAGATGATAACAGCAATAATATTACACAATTACAGTTCCTAGTGATCCTTTAGCTCCTTCCCCAGCCCAACACCCTTCAGATGTGTTCCCCTTCTTCCTCAGGCAGATGGGAGTTGTAGTCAAACATCTTTGACTACACGGAGAAAGCCTGCTTTAGTTGTTCCCTGGAGATCAGTCCATTCCTTAGTGGTCATAATGATCAATGCCCATTTCTCCTTTGACTGTGGGAAGGCAGTTGCTTTACTTCTGACATAGCCTTCTCAGGGGTCATAGGTCAGATCCCTCCTATTTAGCCCCCCCCATGGTCTCCTTCCTAACCATCCCATTTTTTTTTAAAATAAAAGTTCATTTTGATGTAAGATAAAAGAATGCATGATTAATTTTCAATACAAAATGTAAGTTGTCCAACAACTTTTAAAATGTTGGCTAATTAGGAATACCTTGCATCAATAAGGACAGAAAATTTGCAATTCCCAACCAAAAACAGAAGTTTAAACAAATTAAAAATATCACAGGCCATGAACTTTAGAATTTCAAGACAAAGGATGCATTCTTCACATTCACCATTCTTGCTAATGCCATGGTCCCCTGTGTTCTGCACACTGGCAAGGAAAATTTAGTTTGAGGACTGAAAGGGGAGCATTATGCTGATTTGCCTTGCTACTAATATTTTAAGTTTTTATTGTGTTTTAATTTATTTACCAGTTATTTCAATAGCTAGAACAAAACTAGAAACAAAAAAGAATATAATTACATTTAATGAACAGATCTGAGGATGAATTCTGAAACTCTGGATTAATTTGCATTCATGTACGAATGGCAAAAGCAACACTTAGCAAGGAAGCACTGTTCCACCTTCTTTTATAGGGAGAAACCCTACCATACACTGAGCCAGATTTCAAATATAACTTTTAACATGGTAGAAAGTAATTAAGGAAAAATGATTTCTAGATAGAAGACACTTTGTATGCCTTTTTTGATCACTGAAATACAGAAAAGGCATTACCATGTGAAATGTTATTACAATACTATTTATTAAATATGACCAAAGAGATAAAAAACTAGAAGAATAATAAGAAGTATATAGTGAGTTTTAGTGAACTTGCAGATGGAGGGGTGAGAATTACAGTCTGACACTAATGACCCATGTCATGCTTCACAGACACTTTTTAGCATAACACAATACTTCAGAGAATGTCTGGGTGCAAAGTCGGAGTCTTCCAGGAAAATAACTACAAAGGTTTTGAAATTCTAAATGAATCTAGATCGGAATTCACAAATAAATTTTTAATGTTGAACTTTACCCAGAATTATAGCCTGAAAAATATTTAAATCAGAAACATGTCTAATAACAGCCAAATAGTTCAACAACTTTTAATTATGCAAATATACCTCAAGGTCATTAAGCAAATGCTAAAGGTATACCAGCAAACCACAAAACTGGTTTTTAAAAAGTATTAGGAACTTCTGCACGTGGGTGCCAGTGGCTCTTTGCTTCACTCTCTGCTGGAACCTTGTAATCCGTATTAATCTGTTTGTTCCTGGAAAGTACCTTTCTCTGATGAAGTCCTAAATTTGCTTTCAATTCATTTATGCCATTTACTTTGTGGCAGCTCAGTCTGTTGAGTCAGATATATTATTTCCACATACACTGTGTGAAATCTGCTATATTTCTCTTCAATCTCCCCTCCCCGCTCCCCTTTGCACATGCTGCCAAACTAACTTAGCAAAAAGTTTTAAAAGCTGGGAACAATGTTACCACAGGGTGCCAAATTTGCAGTGAAAGCCCCAAAGGCTGTTGTCACGCAAAGTTTGACAAGGCTTGCCAAATGGTTTCTTCAGGATATAAACTGCTGGTGAAGTGACTGAGCCCTTTGTATTTGCAGCTGAATGCTGCAGATGGGAAGGTTTCTGCCAAGAAAGAGTAACTGCTGTTTCTGCCATGTGAAGTTTTACACACATAAATAAGGCACACTCTGGATATGGCAGTATTTTGCTGCTCTGGGGGCTTCCACTTCAAGCAAGCAATGGTCTAGAAAAAAAGCTTGATCTTCTGCAGGATAGCGCCTACACATGCAACCCATGATTAATCCCAATAAAAAGGTATTATGCACCCTTTTAAAAATTGTGCAAGAGAAATAATACCAAGGAAGTACTGCCAGGAAACAGAAGAAAGCTACCAACTGAGCATCCTTGCTAGAAAACTTTCCAAATTTGAGGCCAAGATTTAATTTAATTTAAAATTTAAGCCAAGGTACCTTTGAAGGAGGATTATTTTTGTACAAGCTGTGCCTACAGTCACACTCTGTAAGCTGTTAATTTATTGGTATTTGCATACTGTACCATTCCAAATGTTCAGAGATTAATATTAATTAAAATATAAGCAATATATAAATAGGAAACACAAACCAAAAGGAAAAAATCAACATGTTGCAACACCAAGAGAACTAATAGCATAGTACACAGATGGTACATACGATTTATATCACACCCACAATTATACTACGCACTATGTGAGTAAATTATTCTTGTGCAGGCTGCACTGGGCTGCAGCTAATTTGTAAGGACTTTTGATATTAGGTACAGTTTCCTAAGGAAAAGTTATAGCTCACATGCTTTTCCAGACAGTCGAGACAGTACTGAGCTAGCATCCCAGGGATCACAGAATGGCTCTGATTCTTCACTCCAAATTGGAGACAAGGTTTCAACCACAGAAAACGGAATCAGAGATCCATCTCCTTCCCCCTTGAGGTCAGTACAGAAAGAAAGATCCTGGGGTCAGAAAATCGACCTGGGAGTGAAAGAAAGGAGATGTTCTGGTGGACAGGGGCAGGAGGAAATCACGGAGGCCAGGATTCTATTTATCTCCAGCCTCCTTTGCCGAGTTAGAAGTTAGCAAGTCTTGAAGTTATTCAAAAATCTTTCCATCAAGATGAAAGACAAATAAGCTACCCATGCAGAGCAAAATTCTCTGCTGGAGATTCTTAGACAGAACAACATTTGCTTTAAAAATGGCTCCAAAGTAAGACAATATCTGTTAATGAATTACAGAGTAAGTCAGAACTCAATAAAAGAAACTCATTTTAATATTTTACTTCTAACTTTGACAATGAGATTGTACACATTTATACTTAGAAGTAGGCTCTGTTGAATTCAGTGGAACTTACCACCAGATAAATGGATATAAGATTGCAGCTTGAGCCTTCTAAAACAAATTTAGTTGCAATGATACAACCACAGAATTCTCACCTCAATCCCAACCTCTAGTTGACAAAGCTATGTTCTGCTTGGTTAGGTCAACCTATTCAGAAATATTCATGGCAAAAATAACAAGTTATCAACTGAAAAAAAAATGAACCACTACAACTGACACTCATTAGTTCAGAAGGAATATGAACACATATACATTTCCTTATTTACCTCAATTTTGTCAGTCTTTGCATCTCCCCAGTAAAGTTTCCCTTCTTCAAGATCCAGTGCCAAACCATTGGGCCACCCTAGTGAGGTGTTCACAAGGACTTTCCTTTCAGAGCCATCCAAATAAGCACACTCAATCTTTGGATTTTCACCCCAGTCTGTCCAATACATATAGCTGTTGGGAAAAAGAAAAGGCATACATGCATGTGTGCACAGAGGTTTTATGTCTAACAATATTATTGCCATTTCAAGCTTCAGCTTTAGGTATGGGAGAGAATTCTTCCATATATCCCCAGAACTGGCAAGATCCAGAAACAGGGGTAGGCAACCTGGTGTCCTCCAGATTGTCTAGTATATTTTTGGACTACAAATTCCATAATGCTTGACCATTGGCCACACTGGCTGAGACTGGAGGGTACCAGAATGCATAATACTATAATTGTGCCTGTCATTTTAAAAAAAAGGCGGCAGGAGAAAAACAAAATCTTGCTCAACAAAACATGAAGGATTTTGCTATATAGCAACCTTTGATGCTTCATCATCCCAAATAAATTAAAGGGTAATGAATAATGTAAGTTATGGTAAGTTGGAATACCCAACATCTAGACTATGAAAATGAAGGGCAAGCTACCACTTCATTTTAGTAATACTGACTGAAGACCTGTAAGACTCACCCCATTGCAGGATTAAGGACTATGGCTCTGGGTTCATCTAGGTTTTCTGATATGAGGATCTTTCTTGATGTCCCATTCAACCGAGTCACTTCAATACGATCTGTTCCAGTGTCTGTCCAGTATAAGTTTCTAGCCACCCAGTCCACTGCTATGCCATCAGGATGGTTTATTTCTGTTGTCACAAGGGTCTGGGCCCCAGATCCATCAAGGAAAGCTCGTCGAATGGCTCTGACATCATCATCAGTCCAATATATATAACCCTCAACAGGATCATAGTCTATTGCAATAGCATGTCTGATATTGTCTATTTGCAGAATAATGTCAGTGAAGTCTGGCATATCCAATGAAATTCTTCGCAAATCCGTTCTTCTAGCAAGCAAAAGTACTTCTTCAGCACCTGGGGGAGTGGGGGGGAAACATACACCAATAATCAGTACTTCCCACTAAGTAGGCTTGAGGGACATTTACCGGCAATGCAGCAGAAATAATTGAAAAACAAAGACTGAGTCAACAAGCATTTTTATTCAACTAGGGATCATTTAATAGTGATTCTGAGTTCCTAAACCCCTCATACTGGTTTGCAGCATAAAGACAAAACACTAATGTCCCTCATTTCTGGTAATCTTTACCACTCCCATGGTAGTATAGCCCAAGTACTGCACTGAAAATACAACGGTTGGAGGGTAGAGAAGGACCCACCCTTGGGAGACTCCTGCTCCAGTGAAAACATTATTTTGGAGAGGGCATGAACAATTAAAAATGCTGGTGCTGCCAACGTACCTAAAAAACACATTTTCCCAAGTCATCTTTTTCCAGACGTTTGTTTTGAAATATTACAATGGTTGATCAATATAAATAAGCACCAGAAGACAACATTTTAATTATTGAGATGGCAAAAGGAAAAAACTGTGAGCACTGATTTCATTTTCTTGCATTGCAAAAGTACAAACTTATTATTTTACAAAGATTGATCTCTCTCTCTCTCTCTCTCTCTCTCTCTCTCTCTCTCTCTCTCTCACACACACACACACACACACACACACACACACACACGGGGGGAGAGAGAGAGAGAGAGAGAGAGAGAGAGAGAGAGAGAGGAGCAAGAGTAGGCTATGGTTTCATTTGCTAATACAAAAAGAGAGAGAGAAGAAATTAGGGGAAAATGTCTAGACATCATATCCCACAAAACTATCAAGTCAGCCAGTAGCTGTTTCCTGGAGGGACCGCAGTGGATACAGTTTCTGTATGCAACACACCTATCCAGCAAAGGATATGAACAAATCTTAATGTTCTGTTAACATAAGGCACAGTGAATGACTATTTGGGGGTTGTTTCCATTCTGCAAGTATTATTTTCCTTTCACTAAGTTTTTAAACTTATTAAGATCTTTAAAATTTCTATCACATATACTAATTTCAATGAATAATTTGATTAAATAAAATTATAAAATTAGATACTGTCAAAATTTCTGGGAAATCTAAAACATCTTGCTAAGTCTGTATTTCAGCTATAAATAAGAAAACATTTAAATGGAAGCTTTCTATCACAACTTAGAGCCGCAAGGGGTCTAGAGATGCTTACAATTAAACTAAACACAAGATTATGAGCCACAACAGGGAGAGTAAAAGCCAAGCAACCACAACTTGCTATGTGACCTACTAGACAGGATGCTGGCAGAACCTCTATGTTAGAACATCATGCTGACTTCCTTTAAATTGTTCAGACACACGTAAGCAGTTCAAAAGGGGTATAGCAAAGGAAGGCATGCTGAACTCTTTCCTTGCCTGTCTGTTCCCCTGAGACTGCTTCTCCCTGTTATTCTTTGAAGGGATGGGAGGTTCATTGCCTCTTTGTCTATATCACCCCCATTCCCACAGACTTTGGGAGGTTTACAACACAACAATTTAAAACCAACAATACAAATTTAGATTCAAAACAACATTTTAACTAAAACAAATCTGGGAAGGCTGTTGGAAGTAATACCTCTTTAACTCCCTCTGGAAGGCAACAATCTGGGATATCTCCTAATAGGCCATCCCACACTTTAGAGGTGACCACTTAGAAGGTCTTCTGTGTAGCTGACCTTAATCTTGCAGAAGCAAGCTTCAGAAGATTATCCTCAGAGAACCACAGTGGGAAGGGCAGAATATATGGGCAAAGGTGCTCCTGAAGGTATTTTGGACACAGGCCATGAAGGGTTTTAAAGGAAATTCCCAACAACATTCAAAAACCTGCTGAATTTAATATTGGTGATATATGATCTTTCTGTGATGTCCCACAGACTGGCTGCCTTATTTTGTACTGGTTGAAGTTTCCAGAGCAGGCAAAAGATTAGCCTTATGTAAAGCACGTCACAGAATCAAGCTTAGAAGTTACCTGAATGTGCATTACTGTTTTCAGGATATTCTCTTCTAGGTAGGGACACATCTGGCAAATCAGCTAAAGCTTCATCACAACCTGTGCTGGTCAAGTAGCACTCCCAAACTATGAACACAGCCCCTTCAGGGTGAGTGTGACCCCCATCTAGCACCCCCTGACACACCTCTAATCCTGGATTTGAACCTGTAACAGCAAGTACCTACATTTTCTCTGGATTAAGCTTCAATTTTCCCCCTTCATCCTGCCCATTACCAGCTTCCAGCAGTCATTCAGAGAAGAGGTGCTGTTTCTAGGAGAAACAACAGATGCTGGTAAAAGGAAATAGTTCTGGGTGTCACAGGCATATGGATAACATCCAGCACCACTGCTCCAGATGACCTCTCCCAGTGGTTTCATGTAGATGTTAGACAGCATTGGAGACAAAATGGAGCCCGCTGGGATGCTACGAATCAGCTTTTTCTTAGAACAGCAACTATCTCCAAGGATCAGCATCCAGAACTAATCCAAGAGGTAGGAGCAGAACCTGTGCAGAGCAGTTCTCCCAATTCTCAACTCCCTCAGAGGGTCCAGAAAGATATTATGGCCAACAGTATAAAAATCTGCTATCCAACAGAACCAACAATTGCTCCCCCTGCCAATTCTTAGATCATCCACTAGAGCAACCAAAGCAGTCTCAACTCCACATCCTACTCTAGAGTCCGTCTGAAACAGGTCCAGAAAAATCAGTATCACTTAGAACTATCTGGGGCTGGAAAGATACAACGTTCCGTTATGTCTGGTCTTGGTACACCACTGGGGAAAAACACCTGACGAGAAGCATTTTCAGGGAAAGCACAGGCAGGGGTGGGTGGTCATTTTTTAATTTATTGCATTTCTAGGATGCCCCTTAGTTGACGTTCTCTGGTTTCATGAGAGATGTCAGGGGGATCATGAATTGTGTAGAGTGCCCACAGAGAGAGAAGACTCTCCTCTTAACAAAGTTGCCCTCCATGTGGAGAAGGGACAGAGAGCAACAGAAGGGGTGGGGCTAGCACCTTCCCCCTGCTTGCACATTTATACACATATCAGGAACTCTTGACTAAAGCTCAGTGCTCAGTCCACTCTACCCTGTCTGTGGGATGCAATGGAAAATGTCTATTTTACAAGCAGTCCAAAGAACAGCTCCAACAGAAGTCGTTTTATTTGGGTTGTTTAGTGTAAATATTTAACAGGATATTTTATTCTGTATTACTTTTACATGCAATGCGAATAGGAACATAAAAGCATACCTGCAGAAGGTGGAAAAATAGTCCACTTCTGCCTGTCTGCAACTTCCCTGAGCTTCTTGCTGCTGTCATACTTCCTTCTCCAAACCCCAAGGAATTGTAAGTATCACTAGGAGAGCAGCTTTGTTTCTGCTTTAGCAACAGAGGAAGGGGCCCTTCCAAAGTCACTTCCCTTCAGTACCCAGCAACATTGGCTCTGGGAAAGGAAAGCCAGGTAACACAATGGAGGCCAGGGTAGGGCAGGCAATCACTTATTTCCAAATAACATTACGTACCTTCTAGTTGCCTGAAGTTGGCATGCATGCGGAAGGCTGAACCTTTGAAAAGGGAGAGGAAAACTGACTCCCATTATTTTGGCATGTCTTGGGAGTTTCTGTCTTCATGCGGGGATACACATTGCTTCTGGTAATTTTTCAGAAGATACAGGATTATCCCTATTTAACATTTTAAAAATGCATAATAGTTTTCTTTTGTCCTTCTTGTAAGCTACCTAAAGAAATGTGTAAGCTACCGAAAGACTTAAGCAACTGTGCTATAAATTTAATAAATAAAAAGTGGCACCTTTATGAATTCATTACATAGTCCACATTTTCAACTGTTTTTGTTTCCCTTTTCTCTTCCCAGTGTAGATTTTCATGAATATACTGCTTTTTAATTCTATGGCTACCCCAGTCAGCTTGACAACCCATTAACAAAAAAAGGAAACAAAATTATAGTAGCAAAACTCCACAGAAACTACAATCTCAGACATAAGCAACAGAATTCTGTGAGAAATCACTCTGCCCTACCTCCAGCTCAGTATATGCATGAAAGCTCCAGGAAAGCAGCTGTGGTCCCTGCTATGATACCATACCACCCAACTGTGTTCACTCCATCAACCCAGATCTTCCAGTTTCCCTGCTTATATTATTCCTTCAATGGACATAGTGTGGCCTTAAAATTAGCCACTAACCGAAGTTGACTGCAGAGAGGGAGAGGGAGAGAGATGGAGAAGTAACAGGTGGTCAGGTCCTTTGAACTGGGAAGAATTGAGGGGCAAGCCACTGAAAGTATGCCACTTTTACTGTTTCTGGTGTTTGCAACCTCAGAAACCTCCTGGATGCACTGCTATGCCAAGAGGCTCAGGTTCAGCAGTGGGCATGACTGCTTTTCCAACAAGTAGCTAGTAAGGAGGTTGCCACCCTTTTCTCCAGATCAAGACCCAATCAGCATCCACGTTTTTGGACCCCTGAAGCAAAAGAAGCCTCTTGTTCAAGGCTTGCTGTTGAGATTAGGGAGTGGCGAGTGGTGGTGAGGAGATAAAAAAGGACTGGAATGACAGAATATGCTGCACAAGAATTAGCAGAAGCCCTTTCGCCTCAACATCCCCTGATGAATTCTGAACTAAGGAGACACAACAAAGAATACAGACCTAATTACCGACTAAGAAATGTATACAAGACTCGGTATAATGCCAGGCAGGGATGGGTAATTTATAGCCTGCATACCAGATGCAGGCTGCCAAGCCCCTTTCACAGTTCCTGGCTGGCAGGAGCCATCACTGTGTGCACTGCCTGAAATATCCCCCGCAGGGCATGGCAGCTGACTAGGGCATTGCCACCTAAGCTCTGAAAAGTTGTGTATAATCTCATAACTTTGAGAAAAGTCCAGGTGGCTCAACCAAACTGACAACAGACACCACTGTTGCCATGACAGAGAGACGTCAAGGTCTCAGAGTGGGAAACAAATCTGCCCTAATGGAATACTGAAAAAT